CTCGCGACTAGGGCAGGGCGCAAACGGGGGCCATGAGGCGGCCTCGCCAGCCTTGCGCTTCCGCCTCGCTGCATTCCTGGGGCGCGTTTCAGGGAGCCGGGGTGCAGCGCTGGGGTCTGTTGGCCTGTCCCGTGTCTTGGGAGTTCGGATAGGGAAGAGCCGTGCGATCCCTTTGATGATGCCCCGATAGGCGTGGGGCTGAGCTGGGTGGTCGACTCTGTTCTCCCTCGCGCCCCCCCCCGCAAAGTCCGCTAACCACGGCCGCTTCTCGCCCGTCTCCCCCTGCAGGCCGTGACCCGCTGGGCGCCTTCGGACCTCGGCAGCCGTCCAAGAAGCGCCGGAAGTCCCGCACGGCCTTCACCAACCACCAGATCTACGAGCTGGAGAAGCGCTTCCTCTACCAGAAGTACCTCTCGCCCGCCGACCGAGACCACATCGCGGCCCAGCTGGGTCTGAGCAACGCCCAGGTCATCACCTGGTTCCAGAACCGCCGTGCCAAGCTCAAGCGGGACCTGGAGGAGATGAAGGCGGACGTGGAGTCCCTCAAGAAGCTGCCCCCGTCCGCGCTGGAGAAGCTGGCGAGCATGCCGGAGCTGGAGCCCGAGCCTCAGACCGCCCGCCCTCGCGGGGGGGCCAGCCTGCCCTGCCCCTCGTCGGCCCCGGCCTCGCCCGGCGGGCCCCTCCGGGCCACGGACACGTTCTCAGACGGCGAGGAAGGGGAAGAAGAAGAGGAGGAGGAGGAGGAGATAGACGTGGGAGACTGAGGGCGCCCCTCCGCCCCTCATTGAACAAAGGGAGAAGCCAGAGACCCCCTATCTCGGACCCCTCGGCTTCTCCCTCCTGAACCCTAGGGAGGGAGCCTCAGAAGGAGCGCCTCCCCAGCCACCCAAAGCCCGGAGGAGCGAAGCATTCCCCAGCGGGAGGGACTTTCCGCACCCAGGCCAGTTCTCTCCTGGCTCCTCATGACCTCCCCCGCCTCAAAAACCAGCCAGCCCCCTGCCGCCGCCGCCGCCGCCGCCTCCAGGTCCCATTCAGGCCTCGGTGCCAGCTGCGCACTTTCTGCAGCCTTTCGCCCCCCCCCCAGCCCCGCTGGCCTAACCCAGGCCCTTCCGCCTCCCTCCTGGGCTCCGATCCTTCTGCTGAGCATCCCGCCTCCCTTCCCTTCTTCCTTCTTCGGTCCCTGGAGGAAGAGTTGGTGCAATTTTTAAAAAGACTTATTTTTTATTTTCTATCGTCGTTTGGTCTCGGTGCTCGTGATCGTCTGTCTCAGCGTGTTTGTGTTTTTTTGCTTTCCCTCCCGGGAGACCGGCGCCCGGCGCTCATGCCATCGGGACATATGGAGAGGAACGGGCGACCAGGACCGCTTCTCCCGACCGCACATCCCTCAGGCGGGAGGTGCCGTTCCAGGAGCACGGGCGAGGGAGGGGCTCCAGCAGGCCCCGGCTTGGCTCCGTGGCCCTCTCCCCAGCTCCCAGGGCTTCCCGGCCTCCGCTGGACGCCAACCCGTCTCTCCCTCTCCGCGGGTCTCCTCGTCCCGAGAGGAGGGTGGACTGTTCGTCTTCGTGGTGGGGGTCTCTCCGCCTCAGTCTCCCCTTCCCCCGTTCCTCGGTCGTGTGTGCGTGTATATATTTTGAATAAAGGGACACACCTGATGCCGATACAGCAGCCTCCTGGTGACCTAAGATTATTTCTTTTATTGGGGGGGGGGAGTTGAAAACCCAGAACTGCAGGAGAAGGGATAGGAGGGGACACTGTCCGAGGAAGGCGCTTGCTCTTCCCCGAAGCGGGAGGGGGGCCTCGGAAGCGTGTGAAGAGAAGTGCAGCGGCGGCCATTGACGCCTCGCACTCCTTCCCCCCTCGTGGAACCTTGGAAAATCTGGGAACGTGACCCCCTCCCGTGTCTCCCGGGGCTCCAGAGACTGGTTCAAGTCTAATTCAGCCAAAAGACGAGGGGGGGGGTGAAGAAGGGGAGAGAGCTTCCAATCTCCCTGCTGCCCAGCCGAACAAAAGATCGGAGGTGGTGGATCGGGCGCTGCTTGCGGCTGGGCTGTCCAGCGTCTGCCAGGAAAGCCGCCTGCCTAGGAAGCTCCAGACTCGTCTGGCGGGATGTCGCCGCTTCTTATACTCTGATTTATCGCTCGTTTTTCACCGGGATATTATATGGGACCTAGAAGGGGGAGGCAGGAAGGTGGAATGCAGTTTTCCAAACTACAGAAGTTAAGCGAAAGAACCCACCGTTTAGGAACAAGAAAACTCATAGAACGGATAAATATTTACTTCTGCGCTTTACTGGAGGCATGTTTAAATATTAGGAAAGGGTCTCCGCTCATGTACAAAGCACACTCTGAGATGCCTGGGGACCTTTTTCATGCCCCGCTCGTTCTCCGTGTACCGGAGGGGGCGGGTTGGAGATGGGTAAGGTGGAGCAGAGCGAACGCGCATCGTGCCCTCCGCTCCCTGCATGAGCCTCTAACGACTCAGAGACGCCCAGGGAGCCACCGGCCTCGTCCTCTGGTTTGCAAATTAGCCGGGCGTCGCCTGATTGATGGGGACCCTGACGCAGGGAGGTGGAGGCGAGGAAAGCACTTAAATAGGGGTGGGGCCAGAGAGTAGAACCTGAGATCGCTGCCCTCCGCGCAGCCGCAGAGCGCCCTTCCCGGGAGGAGGCGTTGCTCTCTCGCCATCGGGGGAGGTCTTTTGGGGAGAGAGAGGGGCGGCCATTCTCCCTTTCTCAAATTGGAGACATACGTCACCCCCTCTGCCGAGATCGCCCCGCCCTGCCCCGTCCTCTTCTAGTACAGTACTAGGCAAGCATTGTAGGTAAAAACAAAACAAAAAAAATTAACAAATTAAACGTGGCGGCACTTGAAAGACTAAGTGCGTTTTCCTGGACAAGTCCACTTCTTCAGACATACTAATAAAAGAGAGAGATAACATGGCAAATCTTTATACATGGTATTAAAATACAGAGATCCTGGTTGGTAAGAAAGTCCGTGGGTAGTTAACAATGGCCCGCTCCGTCTTCCTCAAGAGGCTTCTTCCTGCAGGCCAAAGGAAAGCCCTTCCTTGCTCCAGTACCTGGGGGAGGGAGACAAGGGGGTGCTGGATGGGGGCGGGGGGGGGGAAGAAAGAGAGATTAAATGATTCTCTTTGGCCAAAGCCCTCGCAGCCCGCCCTCCGTTGCCAGAGGATGGGGGTGCGTGCGGGGGTGGCAGCGACTTGCCACGGACCAGCATGGCTGGCCTCTCCTGCGCAAAGCGGCGCAAGGGCCCCTCCCGCCCCTGGTCGCCTGATGCAAGCCGGGAGCCAGAGGGAGCTTGTCGGGCCCGGGGGGGGGGGCTGGGCTGCAAGAGCCCTTCTCTGGCCCGTGGCTCGCGCGGGGCCCACCACTCCGGTCCCGGGCAGCGGCTGGAGATGCCTTCGGGGGCTCCTGCCCTGTCATCGAAGGGAAGGGGCGTCCGGGTTGCCTCCCTTCCTCCGTTTCCTCCGGGCGGAAAGCCATTAAGTTAATCGGAGAAGGGGTGAGGGCGGCTCTCTCCAAAGAGCCTCGACAGCCCTCGACGGGCCAGATCTCCCGCCAAACTCGGGAAATTTACTTTTCCGGACTACAAGTCCCAGGATTCTCCCCGTCCGCACACTGAGCTCTTTGCCCCAGGAGGAGGTCCTGGAAAAAAATGGGGAAAGTCTCCCCGGAAGTCAGCTGGCGGCAACAGACCCAAGGTGGGCGCTTCTGAACCCGCTGCCCGCTGCAAAGCCAGCCAGGAAAGGACACCCGGAGAAAAGAGACGGGAAGGGGTCGCGGCGGCGGCTGATGGGGGCCCTGCTCCGCTCCGCCATTCCTAAATGTTTGGTTCCTGTTTGCCGGAATGAGGGCCCGGTAGGAGGGAGAGGGATGACGGAGCGTCCTGGAGCTGGGAGGGAGCCGCCCACCCTTGCAAGGACAGGCCCAGGGCTGGAGCGAAAGGGCTGCGGAGGGCAGTGCCTGAGGGTTAGGGCACCTCCGACCGGGCTGGAGATGGGGCGAGGGAGGGAGGGAGGGAGGGCGCCAGGGCCCGGGCGGAAGGTGGCGCCTTCGGGTTTAGCACGTTGAGTTGGCTCAAGGGAGATCTCAGTGGCGCTCGGCCGCAGCGCAGGCCCATAAAGAATAGTTAGGAAGCATTTAGAAACAGAACAGAAAACATGCACTTTATTGAGAGGGTTACACTTAAGACGCCGCTGTTGTTAAGTGCGTCGTCGGAACCGACTTATGGCAACGCTAACAGGGCTTTCTTCCAGGGCCTGAGATAACCGATAGAATGGTTTTACGAGTTCCACTCCCCCAGGGAGCTTCCGTGGCAGAGCCGGGGATTCCAACCAAGAAAAGAAAAGGGAAAACCCCCAAAACCCAACGCTCGGCGGATTGCAGGCCAGCCAGGAAAGCTCCCGAGAGAAGAGGGGCGGGCCCGGCCTTGGAATGCCTGAGCCCCCCCCCCTCCCCAGCCCCTCAATTGCTGGGCGGGAGCCTCGGAGCCCACGACCGGAAGGAAGCTCTCTGGGGCTGGAAAATGGCCCGAGGAGGGCATGAGCAGAAGGGCCCCTTGGGCAGAGAAGGAGGGGCCGCGGGGCGGCTTTTGATGCTGCTGGTCAGGAGAGAGGCAGCTCAGCCCGGCTTCGCCTTCCCGGGGAATCTGCAGCGATTCCCGGCCGGCCGCTTACCGAGCCCTTTCGGAGGCCGGCGGGTCCTCCGGCTTCTGGCGCCAGGCCGAAAGGCTGGCCAGGGACGCCGCCTGGAAGGGGACCCAAGGCCCTTTCCTCCCGGAGCCCAGCTGCTCTTTCCCTCGCGCAGCCCACCGTTCGTCCCCGGGTGTTGAAAAGAGGCGTTCTGCCCCGCTCCCTCCTAGCCCAGTCCCGGGTCCTTCGCCTCCCGCTGGAGGGTGAATCCTACCCGGGGAGGGGGGATCCGCTGTGGCCCGCGCGTCCCTTGCGGTTCGGGGTGGGAGTGATGGGTCAAACGGGGAGGATTGACTCGCTCTGTGCCCTCGCCCCATCGTCATTAATCACACAGATCAATGTAATTATGAAAGGTGCCAATTAATGATGAGCATCAGGCCTAGACGGTCGCAGTTATTCTATCGGGAAAGAAAATGGAAGACGAAGAGAATGCTCACTGGTTTCAGGCGTTCGCTCTGGCGCCGGGCGACGCCACGCCGATTTAGATGATGTCCTACGGTTGCAGGCCCATCTCCCGTCTGTCACCCTTGTCGGTGTACCGCCCCCCCCAAGGCCCGGCATTCTACTCCGGCTGTCCTCCCCCCCACCAGCACCCGGGAGATCCTCTAAACTTAAAGGCTAACACCTCCACCCTCCACTTCCCGCGCTGGGCCCGCGACCTTTTCCGCCCCTCGGGGATCCACCCCGCGCTTTGCGCGCAAGCTTGCCGTGGCTGCGCAGGGCTCCCGCGGGAGTCGGGCCTCGCCGCCGCCCGTTCGCAGTTTCTGTGGACTTTCAGGGCTGCGCCCGGAGTTCCCTCCTGCTGCTGGTTTCCCTGTCTCCTTTAGTTGCTGCCTCAGAGGCCGGCCTCCGGCCCACCGCTGGAATTGTGGGGAGTTACAGAGGGCAGACCGGCCGCCCTCCTCCTGGACAGGCGCTGGTGTGTGGGGGGGGAAGAGGTGAAGGCACTTGGCCCACGGTGGAGGGGCCAGAGCCCCGGGCACGTCTCCCCAGGAAAGGAGAACCCCTTTCACGGCGGTAACTACCAGGCAGCCTATGGGGCTGGGCAAGCGCAGGGGCGAGCCCCCGGGCAGNAAAGGAAAGGATCGAGGTCAGCGGATCATAGTGGAAAGGAAGGAAGCGCGGGCCTAAGATGGAGGACCGAGTTGGCGTGAGAGACACCAGCAAATGTCTGCCTTGGGGAAAGGGGGGGGGGAACCCTTTGTTCACAACCGAGAAGACATCAGCAGAAATGAAATTTAGCCCTGAACGTGCCTTCGAGTCTCCCTGCGGGGAAGAGATTTTAATTTGACAGCCATGTCATAGTGGAAAGGAAGGAAGCGCGGGCCTAAGATGGAGGACCGAGTTGGCGTGAGAGACACCAGCAAATGTCTGCCTTGGGGAAAGGGGGGGGGGAACCCTTTGTTCACAACCGAGAAGACATCAGCAGAAATGAAATTTAGCCCTGAACGTGCCTTCGAGTCTCCCTGCGGGGAAGAGATTTTAATTTGACAGCCATGAGCCGCTCTCTCGCTCTCTCTTTCTCTCACCCACCCCACCCCCCGCCTCACCAAGGGAACACATTTCAAGCCGCCTATCTGGCCAGACGCACCCGCCTGAGGACCCGCGGACAGGGAGGGTCGCTCCGAGAGCCCCGGAGCCGCGTGTCGCGGGGAAGAGTTGGCCTGGGGGCTACCGGGCCCCGCTGCTCAGCCCCCGGCCGCCGCGCTCTGACCCCCGTGAGCGGCTGGCTGGTCAGGGTAGCCTTGGGAGCCGTCGGGAGCGCAGGACCTCCCCAACCCGACCGCCGAGCAGACTGCCGGCCCGAGGTGCCCGTTTGTTTGCGGCGCTTTA